AAAATTTTTCTTCCCTGATTCTTTTATTAAAATAAGAGAAATAATTTTCAAAACTATTTCTTAATCATATTAGGAATGTTAAAATACATGTATTTGTGTAAACATGTAGAGGTTACACGTTTACACATGGGGGAGGAGGTGAGCACTGGCTCCTGCTAGGGCGCCCCCCCCCCCCTCTGTGGGAGGCAGAGGGGGGTGATAGGCAGGCAGCTCCACAGAAGCCATCTCCCCATGCACACTGGTTCCCACTTCTTCCCACTATCCACATTATATAACCATATTCACAGGTATACATTAACATTCCTACTTCATATTGACATTGTTAGTGATTTTTGTACTATGTAGCTGCCCCCTTCATACTTAGAATCTTACTTGATTAGCAAGAGATTGCAAGTGAACATCTTAATCTTCTATATGATGGTAAAATGGCATAGGGGAGAAAGTTATCTACAGATAACTTCTTGAATCTGTTTTAGAATGTAAATGAATAGTAATGTGTTTATCAAACGGTGTTTTCAGTATGTTCACAGCAGAGGTGAAAGTAAGCGTCTGCACCCTGCTGTGCAGCTCTGGCCAGAGCTGGTTGAACTGCAGCAAAAGCCAGCAGAGGGCTGTTTAAAGAGCTGGCAGGGAACCTGGGTTATGATAGGACAGTACCTGTAAGAAATGTTAAGGTACTTTCATCTCTAGTTCACAGACTTAAGAACACAATTTTTATCTTTAAGGTTTTTTAGTTACAGGTTCAACCTCTCTAGTCCTGCACTCCCTGGTCCGGCATGATTTTAGTTAGTTGGATGTCCACTTATAGGTGTGGCCAAATTTCCCACTGTCCTGTAGAACTTGTTTACAGCCAGTAGTCCTGGCTCTCAGTGTTCTGTGCTGTTATTTAGCTCTAATTTACTACTAAGTGTCTTCTAAGACCCCATTAAGCAGTGGAAGTGTTGGTAATGTTGCTGAAAAATTGATCTCCTGTGGTCCAGCAAATTCACTGGTTCAGCAACAGTAATGTTCTGATAGTGCTGGACTGGAGAGGGATTGTGGGGAATCTATTCACTTGATCAAACCATGTTAGTTATTTCAAATAAGGGCACTTTTTTAAACTAGTAATTTTTTTCTGACACACAATAGTTGCCTATCTAATAAATGTTAAGCCAGAAATGTTAATAAAAACTGAGTAGATGTGGTAAGTACAGTTTCTTATTGGGAAGTAGTAGGAGTCTAGTGTTAGTATAAATATTAATCTATTGGAAAATTAGGAAACTAGATACTTAATGTTAAATGAGCTTATGCATTTTTTGCACACGTCTGTCATAAAAATTGGACTAAAGACTTTACTAACAGATTAAGAAATGGGGAATTACACTAATACTAAATCAGTGAGCAACTGTTTTGAAAACCTAAATTCTTGCACTAGATAAGCAGAGTGAAGGTAAACATTCAGTACATTAAACATCTCTTAGACTTGTATACCTCTTCTAATCATATCCTCTTCATTATTGAAAAGTTGCTTCTAAGTATTTACCTTACTCCATCATCCATACTCTACTGAACTACTAATAAAGTACAGTTTTATATTCTGAATGGTTTTGGTTGTACAAATAGAACTATAGTATCCCTTAGATGGACTGCTCCCCTAATTAATCAATGAGTAAGGTTTGTGCCTTCCAAGGAGGTGGTAGAGAGTAGTAATTCCCCCAATAGCAGATTGCTTGAGATTTGCAAAAGCCTTTCCTAGGGCAATGCATAGAGGCTGCTGTCACCTACAATTCCACTTGAATGGTACAGAGCACAGAGACAGAGATCTGGAAGTTAACACTGACCTCATGCACAAGTCTGTAAGACATTGTACGCTGTTCACCTCTTCCTTTTTTTACATATGGTTGTAAATCTTAAGTTGATTGCAAAGATAACCATAGCATTCATGTTATGATTTTATTTAGTCTTAAATCCAGTAACCCAAAGTTTCTAGTATGTAGAATGATTAGGAGAAGATAATTGGAGTGTACTTTACGTCAATCTGTTCTTACGTCAATCTGTCTGGGGGCAAGAAGTAGTCTAATAAGTACGGTAACATGAAAAAGAAAATGAGCTAAAGCTGTAATTGCTAACCTTTATTCGGAATTAAACTTCTGACAAATAATAGTGAATTGTTTTTTTCACGAGAGAGTAGAACTGATCGTTCCAACTTAATACTCTTTGCATTGGAACATCTTGTTTTTGTTTTCCATTTGGCTCTGCACAGTCAGGCTAATAGAATCCTAGGGCTGAAAGAGACCTAAGGAGGTCACTGAGTCCAGCCCCCTACCCAAAGCAGGACTAATCCCTCAATTATCCCAGCCAGGGCTTTGTCAAGCCGGGACTTAAAAACCTCTAGGGATGGAGATTCCACCCCCTCCCTAGGGAACCCAGCCCTCAGCACCTTGACATCACCATCTACCTAACTACCCGCAACAATAAATATACGCGCAAATAAATACACGGCAGAGTTCAAAATTGCCAAGAGGACAATCAGAGACGGCTTGACGACGTGGCTGTTGCTATAGCTGAAAGAAGTTGTTTGATAAATATTTGTGCTCGTTATAGTTATATACGTCATGGATACGTCTAGACTGGCATGATTTTCTGTCCCCCACTCTTCTTTAATGCAGACTAAATAAGCCCTAATCCCTCAGCCTCTTATACGTCATGGATACGTCTAGACTGGCATGATTTTCTGCAAGTGCTTTCAACAGAAAAGTTTTTCTGTTAAAAGCATTTGTGGAAAAGAGTGTTTAGATTGGCACGGATGCTTTTCCGCAAAAGCACTTTTTGCGGAAAAGCGTCCATGCCACTCTAAACGTGGTTTTGTGCAAGAAAGCCCTGATCGCGCTCAAAACAATAACGCGTTGTCTACACTGGCCCTCTTGCGCAAAAGCGTTTGCGCAAGAAGGCTTTTGCCCGAATGGGAGCAGCATAGCATTTCCACAACAACACTGACAATCTTACATGAGATCGTCAGCGTTCTTGCGGAAATTCAAGCGGTCAGTGTAGACAGCTGGCAAGTTTTTCTGCAAAAGCATATGCTTTTGCAGAAAAACTTGCCAGTCTAGACACAGCCTATGTTCTCCAGCCCCCTAATCATTTTAGTCGCCCTCTGCTGGACCCTCTCCAATGCAGTCACATACTTTCTGTAGTGGGGAGCCCAGAACTAAATACTATACTCCAGATATGGCCTCACCGGTGCCAAATACAGTAGAATAATTTCTCAAGATTTACTAGAAATGTTTTTCCTAATGCACCCTAATATGCTATTAGCCTTCTTGACTACGGTGTATACTATTGACTCATCCACCTTCTCATCTACTGTAACCCCTAGCTCCTTTTCTGTGGAACTGCTACTTAGCCAGTCAGTCCCCCAGACTGTGACAACGTTTGGGAATCTTTCACTCCAAATGCAGGACTCTGCACTTGTCCTTGTTGAACTTCCTCAGATTTTTTTGGCCCAGTCCTCCATTTTGTCTATATCACTCCTGACCCTATCTCTACCTCTATCCCTGCCCTCCAGCATGTCTACCTCTCCCCCAGCTTAGTGTCATCTGCAAACTTGCAGGGGGTACAATCCATTCCCTCGTAGTCATTAATAAAGATGTTGAACAAAACCAGGTCTAGAATCAATCCTTGGGGCATCTCGCTTGAAACTGACCATGCACCAGATATCAAGCCATTGATCACAACCTGTTGAGCTGGACAATCTAGCCAGCTTTCTATCCACCTTACAGTCCATTTATCCAGTCCTTACTTCCTTAACTTGCTGGCAAGAAATGTGTGGGAGACTAACAAAAGCTTTGCTAAAGTCAAGGTATATGCCATCCACTGACTTCCCCATGTCCACAGAGCCAGTTATCTCATCAGAGAAGCTAAATAACTAACTATAAAACCACTTGGTGGCTAAAATACCTGTTCAGCTAGCTTGTAGACACAGCTCAGTAATACATGATGTTTTTATACTCCTTTAAGCCTATACAGTTCTGTCTTTAAAAAGCTATACAGCACAAACCTAAATATAAATTTGGACCAAGAATAATACATTAATCTGGGCATGCAGGTTTGATCTCCAAGGACACCTTCAGCTAACCATTTTTCCTCCATTGCAAAAAACACTCCAGTTTTTAATCCATGTGGATAGTTGTGCTTGTTATCTGTTATCCTCTCCCTTGTTTTGTTCCACTCTTACTGGGATTTTTCTCTCTTCTCCACCTCTGTTCTGGTCTTTTAATCTTTACTCCTATTTAACTTTTCACAATTTGCCTTGTGCTTCTGGTCTTATATAGTATAGTACTATAGTAAGATAATTGTTGTTTGGTGAAGTTTATGAAGATAGATACCATACTCATTAACAACATGAGAGCATTCCTTTTATTTACAATATTTTGCCTTAAATATTTTTAAACGTAAATTTTCCTTTCTTTAGCATACAAATTGTAGGAAACTTTGTTCCCAGCTAGATCACACTGTTCATAAGTTATCAAGCCAAAAGAGGCACCATTGTGATTGGCTACTGTGATTTGTAAAATATAGGAAATATCATTGCACCTAAAATCAAAGGCTACGTCTACACTGGCATGATTTTCCGGAAAGGCAGGACGCTTTTCCGCAAAAGCACTTTTTCCGGAAAAGCGTCTGTGGCCAATCTAGACACGCTTTTCCGCAAAAAAGCCCCGATCGCCATTTTCGCGATTGGGACTTTTTTGCGGAAAACAAATCTCTGCTGTCTACACTGGCCCTTTTGCGCAAAAGTTTTTCGGAAAAAGACTTTTGCCCAAATAGGAGCAGCCATAG